AACATCCTGATTAAGAATATGACATTCACTCTTGGCGCTAATGGATGACACTACGATTATCTGCGCTCTGCTAAGGCTGAGCCCAGGAGGTAATCGTAGTGTCCTCTCTTGGCGCCAGCGACAAGAGTGAATGTCATATTCGTAATCAGGATGTTAAACTACCCCTATATACAAGTTTTTAGCGGATTTGGTAACTTAGGCAATTTAAAAATGGTTCGGTGCCGAAATTTCTGGAGTCCAAACGGCATCAGCCTGTTCTCGCTCAGGGAGTCAGTCCAATCACAGGACACATCTTCTACAAATCCACCCCTTGAAAAGTTCGGTCGAGAAAGCGTCCTTGGTCCCAACTCTAAAGTGTGAGACAGTGAAGCGTAAATAGTGCCGAACTCTTCAGTGAGATTCACTGGTTTACATGGAACTCAAAATTTAATTTTTCAGCAAGAGATGGATCCCATGCAAAGCATGGCTGCTATGTCAAATAATCCTATGATACGGCCATCGATGCAGCAGATGGGAGGCATGTACCCGCCCCAGGTCAGCTTTATACTTTCCACTGGCGGGAGCGCGTTCATATTTCATGATCGTGCGACTGGATAGCGCGATCGAATGGAGATCCGATCGCACGATTGCTAAGTATAACTCTTAGCTCCGTGTTTCGATCAACCAAGAAAATAGAACCGTCGTTGTAGGTGTGAGGGACGTTTGGTTAGGCAGCCTTCGCGACGGCAGCGCTTCGGTCGCGCGTTCGACGATCGATGCAGTCGAAAGCATGCGCATCGATCGCGCCGAATGCGCGACCGAGGCGCTGCCGTCGCGAAGTCTAAACGCTGCCTTAGGGACACATTGTACGATCACATGAAAGTGGATCCTTCCATGTGCAAGGGGTGAAGGTTCGCTGCAGTGAAGTGTGACCCTACCGTCACTCAGAAATGTGTGACAATGAAGGCAGAGTATTGTGATAGCTTGATCTTCCTTGTGTCTCTGCCCTCCGTTCGATAAATGATAGCGCATCCCGCAGCCGTGGCCTGCCATGAATTTGTGCTTGAACGCCGCGTAGATATGGTTTGGCGTACGCCCAGCCGTGCGTGTGGCATGGCTGGGGCGTGCGTATCGCGTGTCGATGGTGGGTGGAGCCATAGGAACATCTAGCTACCACAAGCCTTCAGCTTGATTACCGAACTAACTTTCATGCGGCAAGAGCTACACTTTTAACGTTATAGAACCTGCCCACCTTGCATATGGAAAAGAATCACCTTCAGGTAATCGCGCAGGGTTTGTTAAAAAAGTTTCTCACTTGAACTGATTGTAAGAAAGTTTGAAGTGGTATTTTTGAGAATTATTTTTTGATTTGAAATTGAATGTAATGTCAGAAGATTTCAGAGTGGACAAATGAGCATGTACGGTGGAGCTGCTCCTCAGCAATCTCCGCACTTCCCACCTCAAGGCGTTCCACCTGGTTATCGACCACAATACGCTCCTCAGCCTGGGTATCCCGGAATGCAGCAGCCAATGTACACGGCGCAACAAACTCAACAACAGCGACCGAATGCATACGCAACACCACAGCCAACGAGTGCCAATCATTACGGATATGGAGCGCCATCACAGAGTGGCTATCCACCACACAACAGTACCCTCCACCACAGATGCGACCACAGTATCCTCAAGGGCAACAAGCAGTAAGTTGTCTTTTTTTCTGGTATTGTTGAACATGAAAAACATGCTTAACACAGAAAAAACGCGAACAAAATATTTAAAAAAATGGCGCAGTTTGGATCGGGGCATTCTGCGATTTCGTTACTTCCCATCATCCTTTTGATTGCTTTACAAGAGTTTACAGGTCTTTGCAAGAGTTGACAAGTAGTCCCTACGAACTGGGACTGGTATAGCACTATAGTTTCACAAGATTTCACAGGTCTCCACATGATGCCTGGACACGTCGATGGGAAGTAGCGAAAGTGCATAATTCCCCCCCCCCAAGACGATCTTTTGAGACTTTCGAGTCCTTGTGCAATAAAAGTTTTAGGAGCCTCCCCGTGTTATTTGTAGCTTCAAAAATGGTATAAATATTATGTCCTGATTTCAGTTACCTATGCAAAATCAGTATTGGGAGCCTCAGCAGCATCCGTACTACCAGCAACAGCAACAACAGCAGCAACAACAGCCGCAGCAAAGTGCTCCCAACATGCACCATAGCCAACCAGATCAATGGAGTCAGCAGTCGTCCCAGGTAGAAATCATTTCCATGTCTTTATAATTTCCTGGAGTGCCAGATTTCTGAATATCCTAGTTATTCCTAGCAGTGGTGTACATTTTCGGAGCATGATATGCGGGGTATGCAACAACGGCTACAACATTTGTATCAGCAACAGCGAACTCCGATGATAGAACAAGAAATTCAACAGGTTTCTTTTTCTTGGTTTTGAATTCCGAGATGTTTTAGGGGCCTCGTTAACGAAAACGTGGGAATTTTATATTAATAGGTAAACTATGGGGCAAAGGTGGTCTGCGGCTTGGGCGATAGTGGGGAGGGGGGGGGGGGGACAGGGATGGGTGCGCAGCTCTGCGTTGTGCCACGTCATGTCAAGTACTGCCAGGTCTTTCTGGAGCCATAGAATCTGCACGTACGCCATTTTCCTACTTGTTGAAAGGGCACAGACAGAACGTCACAGAGATGTGACGTTGCGACCTTTTCCCACTAATTATCAGCAAAGTTTTGCTTCACTATACTGAATGGTAAATGTTAAGCCGTTGCACAGTTGCGTGTAAGGCCTCGTTTATTTTCGCAATTCGATATAACTCGCGATTGGGATAATGCCGGTAAAGATTGGAGACCTGTACATATTTGGGGTTTGCGACTCGAGAAAAAGCAGGGTATTAAAGACACCAAGCGATCCTCATCAAACGTTTTGTTATCGAATTATTCTCCTGTGCCGCACCTTCTCCAGATCACTAGGCATACTTTCCATCCGAATTTTCAGCGCTCGCAGATCATGACTCGCCCTTAGGGAGTTGAAACCTTCCTCATACGTGATTCACTGCGGTGAGAGCTTTAAATGGTACATAGCGAAGCCATACGGCTACCTCAAGACCTGTAAAGTCATGTAACCAATATGGCTCACTTATAGCATTTCTTCTCACTTGCTTCACAGAAGCTTTACAGGACCCACCGAAGTAACCTGTTATTTGACATGAGGCTAAAAGGAGTTAATGAATGCACAAAACGCTTATTCCGAGCCAGATAGCGTTTTTATGCTTTTGTTGAGGACTCGCTGAAGCTATAAAGCTCATCCAGTCAAATAATTACAGGGTTTCAAGCTTTGGTTTAATCAGAGGTCGTTTATTTTCCTTGCGAGAATTCTGCTCGTATTTCCCTTTTACTGCCATTGAACCTTGCGTTCATTTCATAGCGGTTTTTGGCATTAATAACCTCGGTGGACCTCTGAGAGACTTGCAAAAGTGAGACTAACGTCGCCCAAACAGAGGTCTGCTCGTCCTGTAAACTGGTTCACCAGCCCCGGATTCCTTTTCACGTCAGGCGTAGGCAAAACTACTTGCTCCACTGCGTGGGATACGAGTCTTCCAGCTATGGTTTAAGCTGCCCCAAATGGCAATATCGCAATCGCAATCATATTTGAAGCAAGGATGTCCTCACCTCCCACGAGAAATGGATTGTGACTTTTGGATGTTTTTCCTTCAAATGCACCCCCTTGCTGTTTTCACCAGCTTCCGACTTCAAAAACAGTGGGCACGACAGTCTTGGGAGGGCGGTCATCACCACCATCATTGGTGGAAGGGTGTGGAAGTGCCCTCTGGCAGTCCTTCCATGACGTTGGCAACAACCGCCCGCTTCCAACATTCATGCCCACCGCCCACTGCCTCTATATTGAAATCACGCTATCATCCCTAGAATGGTTGAATTTCAGATACAAATGCGGTTGCAGTATTTGCAAGCAGAAGCATCACCGACTGCAACAAATGACTGCCCAGAGCGCGCAGCCCATACCTGCTTCTCAGCAACAGCAACAACAGCCGTCGCAACAACAACAGCAACCACATGCTGGCCAACCACCACCAGGAATGGCATCGATGCCGAATCCAAATCAAGCCATGCCTATGAGTCAACAAGTGTGTACTTGTAGCATCACATATTTGTTTGTTAATTTTTGTAGCAAAATGGATACGTGAATTGTCCGCATTTTTAGATGCCAACACCTGGAATGGGCCCACCAAGTGGACCAAGTACAGGACCTCCCAGTCAACAAGTAGTAATCCAACAGAGTCCGTCAGCAACGCCTGCAACTCCTGTCCAGGTCACACAGAGTGGAAGTCAAGTCCAGGTGCGCTCAGATGTTACTGCTTTTGTTTTCCAGTGTTGCCACAAAATACGTAAAATTTCAGGTAAATATCAAACCAGAAACATCCGGACGAACTTTGATAAGCGTGTATCATCGATTTGGTGAATCTCCAAATGGTGATGAAGCGTTTAATTGTGATACGAAAGATTCTGTGCCTCCTGAACCAACACCAACGCAGCAACAGCAACAATATCAGGTTGGGTAATTTTGTAAGCTTTTAGGCGCTATTCGGCTTGGAAGGGCATTAGACTCTTCCGCTTGTTCCTCTTGCTGATACATGTTAATCAACAGGTCAATGCCTTCAAACTCCTGAGAACCTGCTAAATATGAACCACTCCTGTTACAGAAGTTTAAGTGCTTCACAAGCTGGCTTAAGCCCCGCTGGGTATCAAC